GCCGAGGCAGATGACAAGACTGCCCTCAAAGCCTTCACGGCAGGCCTACGTGATTGTTTCTTTAAATACATGATCAATGCCAATACTTGGAAGACTTACTCTGAGGTGATGGCGCAGGCTTATAACCATGCCTCCGCCGAGGCAAAGACATATCAGGGAAACCCCCTACAACCATCCTTTATCAACAAGTGGGAGGTGGAAGCCAGACTCACCTAAATGAGAAGACCTCGACTTCCCAAACAGCAGTGGCACCTCCCCATGCCTTGCATAATGCTTCACCGAATCAACAGACATATCAATTTCAAGGCAAGAGGAAGGATTTCCATCCTCACCACTCTCCTTTCAGTAAAAAGAGTAAGGGACACTATCCCGATAACCAAGGGTATCGCCACAATAACGCTCGCCCCCAGGCAGTCAATGCAGTGGGTCAAACCCGCGTCAAGATACCCCCTACCCCAAGGTATGAGACATACACGCCCTTGAATGCCACATGCGCGGCCATTTACCCCAGCATAGCTCACCTGATACCAAAACCAAAGCCGAGGCACCCAGATTACACGCCCCCGAATAACGCGGGCACGTTTTGTTGCTACCATGAGCATAACGGCCATGATAGCGAGAAATGTATCATCCTCCGTGATCGTATTGAAGCTTTGGCACGAGAAGGAAAAAATTGATCAATTCCTTCTTCACCCTCAAAGGGATAACCGTAACCAACGCCAGGTGAATGTCATATATTCCATAAGCGGCGGCACACCCATATCTGAATCTTCCAATAGGGCCATGAAAAACAGTGAACGAAGTCTGAGGCCTGGTCACCAAGTGTTTCACGTGGAAGACATCAGGGAGGGGGAAGTATCAAAAACCTAACTGGGATCCGATATGTTTCTACCCTGAGGAAGAAAGAGGCATCATCTACCCTCATAACGACCCATTGATCGTGGAGGCTCACATAGCCAACTTTGATGTTCGACGAATCCTCGTAGACACAGGGGCTTCGGTCAATATCATGTTTGCCGAAGCTTTCAGGGCGCTCAGTGTAGCTGAACACTTGCTCGATCGCTCGATTTCTCCTCTGATAAGCTTCTCCGGTGATATCGTGCAACCCTTAGGGAGCATACATTTACCCTTTACTATTGGTACAGGCCCTTACACGGCTACCATTACCACTAACTTCCTAGTGGTTGACTGCCCAACGGCATACAATGTCATCTTTGGGCGCACAGGCATCAATGATTCTCAAGGCTATGGTATCCACGCATATGCTGTTGATGAAATTTCCAACCCCCCATGGCAACGGCTACATCAGAGGAGATCAGCTTAGTGCACGATCATGTTACAACACTTCAGTTAAGCAACAACACTTGCCCGGACCCAAGGAAACCCTGTCTGTACATGACCAAGTCACAAAGACCAGCCTAGATGAAGCGAACTTGGATCTTCCTGATAGCAACAATCAACCCGATGATCCTCGAGATGACTCTTTCACCCAGCAAGCCCAACCTGCTGAAGAGTTGGAGAAGGTACCTATCTCAAGAGATTATCCAGATCGCATGGTGAAGATTGGCACCACATTGTCACCACCCCTTCGGTTAGCATTGATATCTTTTTTGAAAGAGAACACTGAAGTCTTCGCCTGGTCATACGAGGACATGCCAGGCATCTCTCCCGATGTCATCTGTCATCGTTTGAGTATTGACCCCAAGATCAAGCCGGTGAGACAGAAGCGAAGATCTTTATGACGCTGAACGATACGAGGCAATGAAAGCAGAAGTTGAAAAACTCAAAGGCATAGGCTTTGTCCGCGAAGTCAATTACCCGACATGGGTAGCAAATGTGGTCCTTGTTAAGAAAAATCCGACCAAAGAAAGTCTTTTTGCTTCAAAAGGTCTTGTGGAGAATGTGTGTTGACTACACCGACCTAAACAAAGGGTGTCCGAAAGATAGCTTCCCTCTTCCTCTTATTGACAGACTTATAGACTCTACGGCCGGGTGTGAACTCCTGAGCTTCATGGATGCTTACTCAGGATACAACCAAATCCTCATGAACCCTTCGGATCAAGAACACACAGCCTTCACTACCGACAGAGGACTATACTGCTATAAAGTCATGCCTTTCGGCCTAAAGAATGCAGGAGCGACTTATCAGAGACTAGTCAACTCAATGTTCGCCGAGCAGATTGGGAAGAGCATGGAAGTTTACGTTGATGATATGTTAGTCAAGAGCAAACATGCTGACCAACACATCACCAACCTATCTGAAACTTTCACTATTTTGAAGAGGTATCGAATGAGGTTAAACCCCAACAAATGTGCCTTCGGCGTAGGCTCTGGCAAATTCTTAGGTTTCATGATTAGCCAACGAGGCATTGAAGCTAATCCCGAGAAGATCAAAGCAATCCTCGACATGAAGGAACCGGTAACTTCAAAGGACATCCAGAGCCTTACTGGCAAGGTGGCAGCCTTAACCAGGTTCATTCTAAGGCCACAGACAAATGTGCTCCCTTTTTTAAAGCACTTAAGGGAAGTAGGAAGTACATTACATGGACTGATGAATGTGCTGAGGCATTCAAAAACCTCAAGGAGTACATGAGTAAAGCCCCTCTACTCTCCAAGCCCGAGGTAGGAGACATTCTCATTATCTACCTATCGGTATCAGCTTCAGCCGTAAGTTCCGTTCTCATTCGAAAGGATGGGAATATTGAGCGACCTGTCTACTACGCTAGCAAAGCCCTACAAGATGCGGAGACACGATACTCCAACATTGAGAAATTAGCTCTAGCATTGGTCATGTCTGCTCGGAAACTTCGCCCTTATTTCCAAGCACACGCCATCATCGTGCTTACCAATCACCCTCTTCGACAGATACTCCAGAGTCCTGACACGTCTGGGCGAATGATCAAATGGGCGATAGCATTGGGTGAGTTTGACATCTCCTACCAACCAAAACCAGCCGAAAAAGGTCAAGCAGTAGCAGATTTCATTGCCGACTTCACATATCCGGTTGACATTGCTTCTACACCTGAAGCAGTGGCTTCATTACCCCCGGAAGCTCAGAAGGTAGAATCAACGACCTCAGCTTGGAGTCTGTATGTTGATGGCTCATCCAACCAACAGGGCTGTGGAGCGGGACTAGTCTTGACTACGCCCGACAAAGTAGCAATGGAGTATGCTCTTCGTTTCAAATTCAAGGCATCAAACAATGAGGCCGAGTATGAAGCCCTTCTAGGCAGGATTACGTTTGGCCAAACACCTCGGGGTTAAACAAATTGATATTTTCAGTGACTCCCAATTAGTGGTCAACCAGGTTACCAACAACTTTGATGCTAAGGACAGCTCCATGGCAGCATATCTTGCGCAAACACAACTTTTGCTCAAGCACTTCCACTACCAGATCACCCAAGTTCCTCGAGCGGCAAACAGTCATGCAGACGCCCTGGCTCGCCTCGCCTCAGCTGTGGAAGACAAGATTGGAAGAAAAATTCATGTCGAACTGTTGGCAACACCAAGCACCATGGCCGCAGAAGTATGCAACTTACAACAGGGGGATAGTTGGATCACCCCGATCTATAATTTCCTTGCTCATGGCACCCTCCCAAATGATAAAGTCCAGGCTAAGCAAATTCGATACAAGTCTACCCGCTACCTGATCATCAATGATCAACTCTATAAGCGAGGTTTTAGCCTGCCATACTTAAGGTGTCTTACGCCTGCCGAGGCGGAAATCGTCCTTCGGGAAATACATGAGGGAGTCTGTGGAGATCATGCTGGATCTCGGTCCCTAGCACACAAGACTTTTCGCCAAGGATATTACTGGCCAACACTCCACCAGGATGCCATCAAAGTATCCCGCTCATGTGACAAATGTCAACGATATGCAACTATTCCTCATTCCCCTCCAGAGCCTCTTACTCCTATGATCAGCCCTTGGCCCTTCGCCCAGTGGGGACTTGATTTGATCGGCCCAATGCCGGCAGGGAAGGGCAAAGTCTGTTACGCAGTCGTTGCAGTGGACTACTTCACAAAGTGGGCCGAAGTAGAACCCTTGGCAACCATTACTGAGGCAAAGATAGAAGACTTTGTGTGGAAGAACATCCTTTGTAGATTCGGCATTCCCAATGCGATAGTCACTGACAATGGGCGACAGTTTGACAACAAGAAGTTCAGGTTGTTCTGCTCTAAGTTCAACATCAACTTATGCTTTGCCTCTCCAGCTCATCCCCAGTCTAATGGACAAGTTGAAGCCATCAACAAAATAATCAAGCGCACTTTGAAAACCAGCTTGGACAAAGCTAAAGGCTGTTGGCCAGAATTTGTACCCCAAGTTCTTTGGTCATATCGCACTTCATATCGGACTTCAACAGGAGAAACTCCATTCTCACTTGCCTTTGGCACAGAGGCGGTTGTCCCTGTTGAGCTCGAGCAAGCAACATTCCGAGTCCAGAACTACATTCAAAGTGAAAATGACAAACAACTCACCCTCAACTTGGATTTAGTCGAGGAACACAGAAACCAAGCTCACTTGAGGAATGTCGCCTACAAGCAGCGCATCTCCAACTATTATGACTCTAGGGTCAAGCTTCGTTCTTTCAAAATAGGAGACTGGGTCTTAAAGAAAAGATTACTCTGCGACAGAGTCCCGAGTGAAGGCACACTTAGTCCAAACTGGGATGGACCGTATGAAGTCATTGGCATCAGTCGCCCTGGCTCTTACACACTTAGAAGCTCCGATGGCAAGACCCTTGGCCATCCATGGAACGCTGATCACTTGAAGTACTACTACAAATAGACTCACGATGTACAAGTGTTGAGCTATAGCCGTTCGGCATCCTATGTAATGAAGGCCATTTGGCAATGAATTCAATAAAGAGGTAATTTAGCCAACTCAGCCCTCACTCTTTTACATTCCTAGCAAGGGAACACTCAAGTGTTGAAACCTCAAAGCAGATATATCCAACACGAAACAAAATCTAAGTATGTGTCGACAAGACTATACAAAGAAAGGAACAACCAAACAATGGCTTATATCCAAACAATAGATCTATTCATACATAGCCAAACATGCATTAATAATAGTGCAAACACTCATAAACACCTAAAATCCAAAACTCTCAAGCTTATAACATGGGCACATGTTATACACACATCAGACTACTACATCCAGAATACATGCAGATAGTAAAGACACTGCTATTCATTCTCATCTGAAGCCGAACCCCTGGCAGTATCATTCCGCGTCCTACCATCATCCTCTGCATCCCCAAGATCCTCTTCACCATGCTGAGTCTGTGCATCAGCACTACCTTCATTATCAGACTCATCTTCGCTGCTAGGATCAACAGCAAGGACAAATGTCTCGCCCTTTCGATGATGCTCATCTATATCTTCGTGGTATTTTCGAAGAATGCTCCCATCATCATAACGATCAAGGACGGCCATCCATTTCCTTTTTTCAAAGCGAGCTTCTTGAGCACAGTAGGGTTTAATAGCAAGATGAAAGGTCGAAGAACTTAAGTATTCTTGCACAGCAGCCTCCCTTTCAGTTGGAATGCTCTTCTCCAGTTCAGAAATCTCAACTAAGGCACCATCCAATTCTCCCCTAACCTTGGATACTTCCAAGGTAGCCACCTCCAACTGTTTTTTAGTTGCCTCAAACAATTTCTTAAGCCTTAGGTTCTCACCATTTCGCCTTTTCAAGCTCTCCATGGTTTCATCCTTCAGTTGGAGAGCCTGAGTCAAAAGTCCCTTATTCCTTCGGGCCTCGTCCACAAGCTGCTTATTCTCCTTCAGTTTTGCCTTGTACCGCTCAACCTCTTGCAGTCTGTCGTGATACTCGGCCATGACCTGCATGGCAAGACGATCATCACTACCTAAATAATGATAATAAAGAGGAAAAAGTAAGGAAATGACAAAGTAACACTCACATATGAAGACAGCTTCAACATCCGGTCGCAATCCGATTCATCCTTAGCTAAGGGCTCTCCGAGCTCATCGAAGGCGAATCGACGCCCTGCCAAGCAATTGTTGATATCCCCAAAATCCTTTGGCCGCGTGGCAACCCTCAAGTCCTTCCACGGGACACTGCCAGCTCTTTCCTTGCCTTTCCCCTCATGGCGGGAACCAGGATCACTTTCCTGGACAGTGTGCTCCATAGTAAGAGGATGAGGCAACAGTCGGCTCCCTTCTCCTGCAACTACGGCAGTCAGCATTATCAACGGTCCTCGACTCCAGTCTTCCTAAAGGCAGGCCCCTTAAGGACCCCATCTTGGGACTTAGGTCTAACGGATGGTTCCCCTCGGAACTTATGAATTTTCTTATGCGGTAGGATGTCTTCCGAAGGAACTAACACTGGTGCTTTCCTTTTATGGGTGCTAGTCCCTGTTTTCTTGCTTACCTTCTCCACTGCATAAGGAAAATCAAAATAAGAAATACAACTTTCCAAATAAAGTAAGGAATTGAGCTAAGTTTACATGAAGGATACAACTTACTCGATCGTCCCTGGCTCTCGGAAACTAAGGGTTGGAAACCGTACCGACGAAATAAGGGTCGTAGCTTGCTTAAGTGTCTATCCTCTTTGGGCACCCTCAACACCTTCTCTATGTCAGATAGCTCCTGCCCAAACAGTTGGATGGTGCCCCGCGTCACTACATGAAGCAAAGTGTTAGAAGCAAGAAAAGACCACAACAAATAGCAAATAGTACGAACGGTTGATACGTTACAACCTACAGTCTGGAAGTGAGTAAGCACACGTCGCTCAGGCGTGACACCCTTATCATACTCCCAATCATTATACAGAAAGCACCAACGGTTTTTCCATGTGTAGTATGCCTTTTTCTTACCATACACAATACGCTCTCTCTCACTCCGACATGCACACTCGGCATAACCAGTGCATGATTTTGCTGGGCGCATCTTGTAACAGTAACGCCACTGATGGAAGGAAGGCTCACACACAACCCACACTCCATCCAAATGATATAAAAAATCCAATCAAAGTATCCCAGAAACCAGGATTGAGTTGCCCAGGTGCATATCCGATCAAAGATAACATCTTTTGCAACCACGGATGTAAAGGTAGTCTCACCCCTAAAGTCAGTAATATCTGGGTGTAGAACATAACATGACCCTGGGGAGGCTCAGAAGGCCATTCTTCATCATGTACCAAACGTATCCCTACACTACGAGGGATATTACATGACTGCCTTAGCGCCTCAACCTGCTTCTCATTATCTAACAAGTTATTCTTTAGATGGTCTGCTGTGAACTCAGAGCGAACTATGGGTATGGCATCAAAAACAACCCCCTCACCCAACGCCATGGAGGAAGAACTAGCAATAGCTAAAGTTTGACGGTTGGGAAGATCATCCAATGTTTCTCTAGTACCGGACTCTAACAAAGACCCTGAAGACTCCGACATTGCAGACTCAGACTTAGAGCTAAAGCTAGAAGAGCCCTCATCACTAGAACTTCCAGGCTCTGACATCTACAATAAGAAGAAACAAATTCTATCACTACATGCATGATCAAAACATAAGGAAGTTCCTATATTACCCACATGAAGATGGTGCAAAGCGATGCCGGAACCCTTCTCAATCAGAAAGCAATCCGTCTTCCACAGTCACTACAAAACAAGCAAATGAAGACCGTGTCAAGCGCCAAAAAAAAAAAAAAAAAAAAAAAAAAAAAAAACAGCTTCATCCAAAAAGCTTCACCCGAAAAGCTCCAAAGCTTCACCTCCAAAGCTTCACCCACAAAGCTTCACCTCAAAGCTTCACCCAAAAGCTTCACCCAAAAAAGCTTCACCCAAAAGCTTCACCCAAAAAAAGCTTCACCCGAAAAGCTTCACCTCCAAAGCTTCACCCACAAAGCTTCACCTCCAAAGCTTCACCCACAAAGCTTCACCTCAAAAGCTTCACCCACAAAGCTTCACCCAAAAAAGCTTCACCCGAAAAGCTTCACCTCCAAAGCTTCACAAGGGCCCAAAGCTTCACTTAAAAAAGCTTCACCTCCAAAGCTTCACCCACAAAGCTTCACCTAAAAAGCTTCACCCACAAAGCTTCACCCAAAAAAGCTTCACCCGAAAAGCTTCACCTCCAAAGCTTCACCCACAAAGCTTCACCTCAAAAGCTTCACCCACAAAGCTTCACCCAAAAAAGCTTCACCCGAAAAGCTTCACCTCCAAAGCTTCACAAGGGCCCAAAGCTTCACTTAAAAAAGCTTCACCTACAAAGCTTCACCTAAAAAAGCTTCACCTAGAAAGCTTCATCTACAAAGCTTCATCTACAAAGCTTCACCATCAAAGCTTCACCTAGAAAGCTTCAACACCAAAGCTTCACCTACAAAGCTTCAACACAAAACCTTGCTCCAAATAAACAAATTTTGTTCACACAACCTAAACATTTTTTGTTTTACACCCACAAGGGCCCAAAATCTTCCTTCTTATTTATTCACTTATATATGTTCCCAAACATATTATGATAGATCAAATAATAATTCAAAGTCCAAAATTTAGTTATGGACAAAAATACAAGCAATTCACCAGTACTGAAGTTGCTACAAAAACTGGAATCTTCCCCAGCCTAGAAATCCAACAAAGCTTCGCCTCCTTTTCTCTATCAAATTTTTGCAGCTGCTGCTTCTCTCCAATGGAGCTGAATTTTGGACACCCTCTAGTTCTTGAGCAGATGAACAACTTTCAAGAAGGAACCATTTCTGTTTGAGCCACGGAAATTAAAGTGTTGAAGCTCCAAGCATGACAGTCGGATTCTTGCAGATTTCGAAGCTGCTGTGATGTTTCGAAGATCTGGAAATATTTAACCATTAGTTCATTCTGAATTTTTGATATGTTATGAAAGAGACGATGAGGAACAACTTCAATGAAGAAAGCATGCTGATCTGAACAATAGAAAATAGAGTTTCAAAGCTCACAACAAATCTGACGGGTTGACAGAAAAATAATAACCAGTCATTCATCATACCTGGATTTCTGGAGTTATACTTCTCCGAGGGATCTCAAATTTGGATATGTTGAAGTTCACAAGCTGAGGAACAACTTCAATGAAGAAAGCATGCTGATCTGAGCAAGAGAAAATAGAGTTTCAAAGCTCACAACAAATCTGACGGGTTGACAGAAAAATAATAACCAGTCATTCATCATACCTGAATTTCTTGAGTTATACAGCTCCGAGGGATCTCAAATTTGGATATGTTGTAGTTCACAAGCTGAGGAACAACTTCAATGAAGAAAGCATGCTTATTTGAGCAAGAGAAAATAGAGTTTCAAAGCTCACAACAAATCTGACGGGTTGACAGACAAATGATAAACAGTCACTCATCATACCTGGATTTCTGGAGTTATACTGCTCCGAGGGACCTCAAATTTGGATATGTTGTAGTTCACAAGTTAAGGAACAACTTCGATGAAGAAAGTATGTTGATCTGAGCAAGAGAAAATGGAGTTTTTGAAGCTCACAACAAGTCTGACGCGTTGATATACAAATGACGAACAATCACTCATCATACCTGAATTTCTGGAGTTGTACTGCTCCGATGGATCTCCAATTCGGATATGTTGTAGTTCACGAGCTAAGGAACAACTTTCATGAAGATGGTTTTGCGATCTGAGCCACAGAAAATGGTGTTATATTGAAGAAAAGCTAAAGGAAGACTAAAGCAAAGCAAAAGAGAAGCTAAAGGAAGACAAAATCATGGCACATGATAATGAGTCATACCCTACCCCTCATTCAGCTCCATTCGAATACACCCATGTAAATGACACAAGAAAAAGGGAGGGAGTAAAAAAAATAAAAATAAAAAATAAAAATAAAAAAAAAAAAAAAAAAAAGTTCCTAGGCCTCCACTTCTTTGGGCCTAACACATCTTCATAACAAAAAACAATATATGAAGAAAGAGCCCTGGGTTACCACTTCGAAAAGAAACAAGTGAAGTTTTCCTACTCATGACATTGACTACTAGCTAGACACCTCATTCGGCAACTCTCTTCGCCTGAAGACTTGGGGGACTCCCACCATATGCTACTGCACCTTGATACTCGGCAGTCTCACAACCACTCAGTGACTTGGATTTTTCAAGTCTCCAACCGAGAAGTTTTCCTCACTCGGGAAATTAAGGGAACACTACCTCAAACTACATGCTCCACTCACAAAGCTTCAACAATACAGGTTTCAACAAAAGCAAAAAATTCAAAGAACTTTATGAAGAAGGCTTTGGTGTATTTAACACAATATGTTGAAATGAAGCAAAGCTTATTTATTAATATTTTCGATAAGCCACAAATATGTACATATACATGAGTCAAAATAAACAAACAAAAGGGAGCCTTCACAAAGGTTGCTTAGGGGAAGTCTCAGCAGTCGGTAGAGCCCCAGAAAGAGAAAGCACCGGAGGGTGGTTATCCGGAGCCTCAGTACTTGACAAAACCCCAGAAGGAGGAGGCATTGGAGGTTCATCATTTGAAGCTTCATTACCAGGTACAGCCCCAGAGGACGAAGGCAATAAATGCCTTTGGAACAAACCCACAAACCGCTGATGATCAAGTAAAACCTTACCATCAGATTCCTTCATCTGGTCAAGCTTCCTCTTCATGTTTGTAGCATAGTCATGGGCGAGCCGGTGCAACTGCTTATTCTCATGCTTGAGCCCTCTAATCTCCTGTTTGAGACTCATCACTTCAGCAGCCAATGATTCAACTTGGCGGGTTCTAGCAAATAGGCGTTGGGCCATATTAGACACAGAACCTGCACACTGAACACTAAGAGCCAGAGAGTCCTTAACAGCCAACTCATCAGACCGTTTGGAAAGTAGTCTGTTATCTTTGGGAGTGAGAAGGTTCCTGGCCACCACTGCAGCGGTCATATCATTCTTCATCACAGAATCCCCAACGGTAAGAGGACCAGTAGGGGATATGAAGGATGGGCGCCATATGTTGTCTGGAGAAGGCGTGGCTGTCTCTTCTCCAAGGTTCAAGTCAAAACGACGGTCGGAGGGTCCAGACATTTTCAAATGTGTTGAAGAAGGAAGAGGTCAGACAAATCAAGATCTTAGAAGTGCAAGAAATGAGCTTCTACTGGTAGAGATTCAAGTGTGCTGTGGAACTTAATGCCAGCCTCTATAAAAATCTGCACTCGACGGAGCTTCAGAAATCGAAGAGGCGTTTGCTTTCTCAAAAGCTGGGCTGCTCAGAGACCACGAGGGCCGATCTCAGAAATCGAAGAAGCACCTGCTTTTGCAGCCTCGTCAGCACCTGTCACATGCACAATCAGCTTTGCGGAAATTACGGGCAATCTGTCGAAGATTTCTGGTGAAGTAGAAAGCACGTGAATCTTACTGATTCAATCACCGCTCTCCATATGCACCATCAACTCCTCGGGTACCACATATAACTTTGTCAAAGATCTCTGACAAAGTTTAGGCACGAGAATTTCGAAGTGCCAGCTACCCTACTATTACCCATAAGGGTAAAGGAACAGCACCACTGCTTGACAACTGGAAAGTCCCTATGTGTGTCGACCTCCGTGTTTTGTGGCAAGACAGGTTGGCAAGAACGACCAACCTTTACTCACATTCGAGAAAAGACTCCCAACATAATTACTTTCTCAAAAAACCGGAGAGTAGCACCGCTTTCCGAATCTCGAGAGTCAGATCCTCGACGGGATTGCTTGTTCGAAAACCGAAGAGGCACAACTCTCAGAACTTCGAGAGCCAGATTTCCTTAGATAAAGCTTGTCTGTAATCTCCACACGTAATATCAGCTTTCCAGATACCACATACCACTTTTTCAAAGTGCTCTGACAAAATTAAAACACGTGAAGCTGGCAGCTCCCACTACATTGCTGTGACCAAGAAGGGTAAAGGAATAGCATTACTACTTGTTATTGGGAAATCCCTATATACATTGACCTCCCTCCTCAACGGACAGGCAAACCTGCAAAAAATGCTCAACCCTTTCTCACATTCGAAAAGGCACCCTCAACATAACCTCTCGAAATACTCAGCTTTATTTCCCCCCGATAATACCTCAGCAAATAAGCCACACCAAGAACAAGAGTATCTCATATCATCAGGGTCGAAAGCAAGAGTATCCCATATCATGCTTTCTCCCTGTCTTTGTCTTTGTCCTTGTCCACACCTGCAGGACAAGGAGAAAGAGAGCAGTCAGTCGGAACCTGAAATCAAACCTCCAATTTGGAACTGACTGCCTGGAGCCTTTGCCTGGTTGCTTACTTAGCATTGCTCTCGAGTACTCATCCTCAACTGCTGTCAAGGTCACGAATTCCACCGGCAAATACCTCATGACAGTTGATCAGATATTGGCTCTTTACACTGAAGCTGCCAAGCGTGGATGAGTCACTATGAAGGAATGTTCTGAAGGACCATTTAAATGCAAAGGTTGCACACCACTTCTGCCATGCAAAAGATTGAAGCAGAAGGTTCAACGGTGAGCTGAAACAGATCACTACAGCACGACACCTTTCCATACCACATTCATTATTCCGTCAACAGCAAAAGTATCCCATATCATCAAGGTCGAACGTACTCTAGATTTGATGGACTTGTTTTGACCCTCAAATTTTTTGAGTCGGCCTTATACTCTGAAGGGCACCAGAAAACCCTCCAGCACAGTTCAAGAATAAGCCTGTGGAAAGTTACTTCTTCAAAAGCAAAAGTATCTCATATCATCTCTTATCCATTTGCTTCTCCTTATCCTGGCAGTTGAATGAGAGACAAGGAGAAGAGAATGAGAACAATCAACCGGAAGCCGACGTCAAACCTCTGATCCTGGGTTGCTTACTTGGAAGTTTGACTGCTTACCTTGTCTGTCACCTCTTTCGGCAGATCTCCTAGCTCGGCGACTTGGGGGACTCCTACTATAGGGTTTGTATCACACTTGACTAAGCCCGAAACTACAACTAGGCTTCAAGTGAAATTGATACATTACCTTGTGCGTCAACATCAGCTAAGTACACCATTCCCGGATGGAGGAAAGGTACTTCCAGAGAAGGGCAGATGAAGATCAGACCACACTTCGGTACTTAGAAGTTTCGTGATTACTCAAGGGATTGGATCTTGCAAGTCCCCAACCGAGGAGTTTCCCTCACTCGGGAACTTAGGGGAGCACTGTTTGTACCATACTTGACCAATCCCGAAACTACCGAGCACCGGCCAACGCTATACTGTCAAGGACCCAGAAGAGTTCCCCTCCGACCAGGAGGCCAATCACTACTCGACACGTGTCAAGATTAGAAGCCAATCAGAGCGCAGCACGTGTCAACATCAAGAACCAATCATAACATGACACATGTCAATGTGACAAAGCTACAAGTTTTTCTATAAATAGGGGTCATTCCCCCACAATATTGCCAAATGCCATTTTGTGTTAAATCATTCACAAGAACTCACTAAATTGAGAGCTTGATCCTTTGTACTTGTGTAAGCCCTTCACTACTAATAAGAACTCCTCTACTCCGTGGACGTAGCCAATCTGGGTGAACCACGTACATCCTGTGTTTGCTTCTCTGTCTCTATTCATTTACGTACTTATCCTCACTAGTGACCGAAGCAACCAAGCGAAGGTCACAAAACCTGACACTTTCTGTTGTACCAAAGTCTTCGCTGATTTTGTGCATCAACAGAATCAAAATGATTTCACTATTTTTATTAGTTTTCCTTTATAAGTAAACATGTGCTTAATGTCGGAAAAAAAAAACTCATCATCATCCACACAATTGAAAAAGTACATACAAATTGAGCTGGTATGTATCTATTGATGTTTTAGTGACCCTCGAGTTCCATTTAGTAGTTTGGAAGTTATAGGTAAGAAAATTATTTAATGAAAATTAAGCTTAACGCAATCAATTAGGTACGAGAAAAGTTTGTTTAATGCCCTTCGAAGGTAACGTTGGTAACCGACGAAAATCAAGCATTGGGAACGTTAAAAACTTTTCGATTTATTTCATTATTCGTTAACTAAAGCCATTCAATGACTTGAAGGCCATTTTGTTTACGCTATATTTACAAGTACTGCATGCTCTGTGTGTGTGTGTATATCCACACACACACACACGAATAAAATTCTGTGTGATCATCTATCTTTACAAGCAGGAGGACCAGCTAGCTTAAGCCAAAACATGCAAGGAGATGCTGAGTTCTGCGGTTGGGGGCTTTTAGGGTTTGGCATTGTGCATGAAGTCGACACGAGTGCGGCAGCTGCAGTCCCTGTAGCTCGACAGTTAAGGCAGCTGAGAGACAACAAGTGCGACTCTTGCATCACCGACTCTTGCATCACCAGTGCAACCTGAACAGCTTTTCCGACCGGCTCGCTCTTCTGCAGTTCTGCACCAGAAGAGTTAATTTTGTCATGCGGATGAATATAAAATCAAGACACCATCAAGAATAAGTAAGGACACCAAGATACATATTAAAAGTTGAAAAAACCTTTATATAATAACTCTGGTAAATCATCGATTCGATATTAGAGAATCATAAGGTGTTCTTCATCAGCCTCGTCTTCACCATCATCTAGAGTTTCTGAAGCTACCCTCCACATTCGAACTGTTTTTAAATTAACCCCGATATTACACACTAGAAGACTACTCACTTTTCGTTCGTGCACAAACACTCAATCTTGGGGTCAATTTATAGGGAGGGTGGAGGCTTGGTGAAGGAGAGGGGTATAGGGTTAGGTTTAGGTTTTCGAATTCTTTGCCCATCGTTTTTCCTTTTGTTTTTGTTTTCCTTTTTTGGGTGAGATTTTTGTTTTCCATTTTTCCTTTTGTTTTTGTTTTCCATTTTTAGGTGAACCAATACAATGTGCTTGATGACCATTCAATGTATTTGGGATGACAATGTACGAAGAAAAATAGGGAACACCGTAAGAAAAGGAAACAAAGTTCAAATGTATTTGAAGATTTCCATTTATTCTCTTGTTTCCAAACTTGTAAAATAGTCAAAAATAAAGATCGATGAAAATTGAAATCAGCCCAATGTAAGCTTGGGAAACGAGACTACGTGCATGTCCATGTACGTGGTTTCTCTTTTTCTTTTCTTTTTTTATACAAAAGATGAGAGAAAAATCAAACTCAAAATCTCATTTTGTAGGAGTACGATTAAAGTGAAAACTTTCATGTTTAATAAACAACGTACAAAGAAAATAAACCTAGTTTGGAGCTCACTTTTCACAGTTTATATATATATGGATAAACTAGATTGATTCATTTCTTGAGAGGGTATGCAATACAACTGATTGAGAAATTTTTTCTTCGAACTACATAAAGAATTAGACGAGTTGTACTACACTCAAGGGTTTGGACAACGGTTGAATAGCAACCTACCCTTTCCCCTGGTCCTGAACTCTCAAAGAGGGTAAGCCGGCCGGCCGCTTGTCCCCCTACAACTCAAAGGAAAAATACCCTAGGTAGAACAATGGGAGGATAGAAAACAAAGAAATTGGACCTCCGTAAACTGCCCCTGCCGGTGAAAGCAACCGGAAACAAGGATTAACCAAGGTCACCGTTGCATCAAATAGATAAAGATCAAATAATGGGACTATCCTCCGGCAACAGGTCCACCGAAGGATATGGTGGAGGCCAAGGAGTGAGCTTCCGTGATGAGACTGTAGTTGCAAAGAATGTTAACATCAGCAGCCCCTGGAAATGAAGGCCGAAGGGTCATGCAGTACAGAGTCTTGAAGAGTATTCATCAGTTGCGGCAGAAGTTACGATCTTCATGACCAAGGCAATCATCGCGACTAACTACTGCAATCGTACGTATGTCGATCGTTCCATTCTTCACGAAGAATTTCTTTACATTCGATAATTCCTATGAGTAGTCGACAGTGAGCACTCCGTTTTCACGTCTTATTGTGTTGCCTATTGTGACTCGGGTAACAGAACAAGAATGCTGCTACACTGCACCATATCTAGACAGATGCATTGCTAATCGAGACCAGACAATGGTAGTATCAATGCAAAAAATTGGATTAATTTCATAAAAAGACGATACCAAAACCATATCGGAGATGAAAAAGACCACGTAAAACGAATTGAAATTTTGATTAGATATAACAAGGTGAGTTTAAGCACGTAAATACACATGACAAAATTGCAATTGATAAATGAAAATTTCTTAAAACTTGAACGGTCGATTCTTTCTTTTTTTCGTCAATAATTAAATTAATTTTCTTCTCCAGCAACAGGCTCGATGTGGTAGCATTGACCTTTGTAACGATCAAGACTGTCAGTCCATACCATTGTCGCTAACCATTTTTGATCCCAAATCTTTGGGGTTGCTTTTCCTAATAGATTTTCTGAATTCTTCATTCATCAATACTACGTACCATTGAATGATACGAGAATAAATGATCGACTGAAAATAGAAGATTTAAAAAGTTGTGAAAATCAAATCTAAGAGTTTAAAAGAAATGCTAACGAGGCTCTCTGAAAACTACGACCCTCTATGAACACTTTACTACCTTACAGTTTAACGTCAATTTTCATGTCAACATTATAAAACATTATGTCAAAATATGAGGTGACCGAGTTTATGAAGAGTTTCAATTTAAAAGATTACCGTTAACTTTTCTCATAGTTTAAACTTAGTGCCTTATGCAACCTGCAAGCGATAGAAATGGCTATGGAGAAGAAGAAGTAGAAGGGAGCAGGGCTCCAATGTATTTTTTGTGTTTTTTATACAAGACGAGTGACTACTGCCAGCTGGCTATCTATAACAGACTACCAAAAAAACAAGAATTAAGCCTAATAATTCCAAGTTAAAACCCTTAATAATGATTAAGCTAATCACTAATTATAGATCATATCAAAATGGAGGACCACCAGACAACGACGTCATCGTCGGAAGCGGCGGTGATCCAACACAGGGCGTACGCCAGGGTGGGGCTGCTCGGTAACCCGAGCGACGTGTACTACGGCCGCACGATCTCCTTCAGCGTCGGAAACTTCTGGGCCACCGTAAGGTTGCAACCGTCCGATGATCTCGTCATCCAGCCCCACCCCACCCACGACCTCGTCGTCTTCCGATCCCTCGATCACCTGGTTCGTCGCCGCACCACTTCAATTTCGCAATTGCATATAGTCCTAATGTTTAATTGAATGCTGCAATTAAATTTAAATTGAAATTTCCATTTGCTGTGCTTGAATTGAAAATTTGAAATGTGATTGAATTGGAAAATCGAAATCGAACAGGTGAATCGGTTGGATAGTGAGGGATATTATGGTGGTGTTCGATTGCTGATGGCGATTTGCAAAGTGTTCTTCGATTATTGCAAGGAAAATGCGATCGAATTGGAAGCTCGAAATTTCACTCTCTCGTATGATACTAATATCCCTCGCCAGGTAAATCTTAATTAACTAAATTTCAATCACACTAACATGGAATTTTAGCGATTTAGAGATCGTTTGGATGTGCTTTTAAAAAGTGTTTTTGATGAAAATATTTTTAGAACCAATATTTTGTAAAGATGCAAGTAAAATCCTGAAAAAACACTGAAGTGCTTTCTGAAAGAAGCACTGTGCTTCTTGCAGAAAATACTTTAAATGTTTTTTGGAATCCAAAAACACTTTTAGTTAAGTACGGATTTTGATTTTTGAGTTTGAGATTGAGATTGAGATTCCAATTCCGATTTCAGACAGGACTTTCGGGGTCTAGTGCGATTGTGTGTGCAGCCCTGAGCTGCCTTCTTGACTTCCACAAGGTTAGGCACTTGATTAAAGTGGAGGTCCGCCCCGGCCTCGTCCTCAATGCCGAGAAGCAACTAGGCATTGTTGCCGGTCTTCAAGATCGCGTGGCGCAAGTTTATGGCGGCCTTGTTGACATGGTACTTAAACTTCAACCATTCCATGTTAACATCCTTTCAGATTTCAAGCGTGGCATGTGGTAACGTTTCGACTTGTTAGGAATTTGCCAAGGAACACATGGATACTCTGGGGCATGGAATTTACACACCCATGGATGTTAGTCTTCTCCCGCCTCTTCACCTCATCTATGCCGAGAATCCAAGTGATTCTGGGAAGGTTAGCCTTTCCTTATCGTTAGTCTTCTGTATTGTTTTCCACTTGAGCAATTTGTACGGGAATTGACACATCCATTGATTTTTTTATGGTAGGTGCATAGTACCGTTCGTCAAAGGTGGCTCAGCGGTGATGAGTTTATAATATCATCAATGACAGAAGTTGCAAATATTGCACTAGAAGGAAGGACGGCCTTACTTGAAAGGGACTACACTAAATTAGCTTCTCTGATGAACAGAAATTTTGACCTTAGAAGGTTTGAGATTACCTGCTTGACTTGTTATTCGATTATGTGTGTCATTCATGCGGGGAATATGATGTTGTTAGAGACTATTGCCACTCAGGGTCGATTTTGCACAAACTGTACATTTGTTTGCTAAACCTTTTTCAGTAGTTGCTTCAACATGCTAGAAGGTCCGATTATAAGAAGAAGAAGAAACGTCACTATTTGTGTCCATTTGGGTGTGATGTCAAGTCTAAGAATTTTCTTTAATTGAGACCCTGAGCACCATAAACTCGTTACGTCCCTTCTTATGTGTTACATTGTCATCATGGGTTACGCCATGGTAGTTGGGTTGAAGTAACATCTTATATTTTGAACTATTTTCACATTTGTTATGTTTGTGCATTTTATGGATGCTCAATGTTGGTATGTGGATGTTGTGCAGAAGCATGTTTGGAGACGATGCTCTGGGTGCTTTAAACATAGAAATGGTGGAGGTAGCCCGAAGGGTGGGTGCAGCGTCCAAATTCACAGGTAGCGGAGGGGCAGTCGTTGTGTTTTGTCCTGATGGTCCTACACAAGTGAAGCTCTTGGAGGACGAGTGTCAAAAGGCTGGCTTTAAACTCGAACAGATAGAAGTCATTCCCTCTCTTCTAAACAAGGTTGATCTACAAACCTTATCAAAATAGGCAATTAGTTGGTGTCTTGATTTAGTTCTCTTTAGGAACACAATTTTTACGCCTTTTGTTTGAAACGAATTATAAACTGCTATTTGTTTGTTCGAGTGTTTGATATCAATGCAAGTCTTTCCAGAGACCGAATGGACTTAAAGATCATTTTCGACATTCAATGTTTCTCTATCTATGTTGACAGAAACGCTTTGAATCGAAATTGAAATCTAGGACAATCTAAAACGCAAAATGAATCGAAATTGAAATATAATCAATACAACATATACACACTTTCCAGTTTCTAGGCCTCATTCATCTATTGTGGTTTTGGCTACATCACTCATACCAAATCACATGACCAAAGAGGAAAAAATTAATATTATGATGAAACCTCAACTTTCTTCATGGTATCAGAGCATATTATTCCTTGTGTGAAATCCAACGGCCGCACATGCTTCACGTCACCCTCTACTACTTCCTCCTACCTCTTGGGAATTTCATGAATACATGCTACCATTGTAGCGATCTCATGAGCTCCCTCGGTGAACTGCAGATTGGAATACCGAAGAAAAGCGGAGTAATCTGTTCCTCTTCTTCCTTACATAGTGCTTCTGCTGTGTCACAGAGACTCGAAACATCACCAATGATCGCTGCGTGTGCGTCTACCTGCATTCACAAGGAGGATGAAGAAATGTAATTATACTGTGAATGATTGCTTACTAGTTCAGGGGTCAATTAAGGTAGTCTAAGAAATCGAAAACAGAAACCCTAAAAGTTCAATTGATGTTTGGTTACTGAGAAATCAGGGAAATGTCTTGGAAAATCAGCTCAACTGAGCCCCAAATTGGTGTCACAAGCTCAAATTTCCGACCTTTGCAAAAACCCTAACCCCCAAAATCTTTCAATTTGCCACAAACCACACAATCCCAAAACGAAAAAGAAAGAAACCCCCAATTCACCTGCAAGAGAAGCTCATCCACCAACGACCCACAACCGGACTCCGTCCCCTGAATCTTTAACACCCCAGACCTATCCAACGACGCCGTATCCTCCCGTTCTCGCTCTTCTATTCTATGCTGCTTCTCCTCCTCTCGTTGCCGCTGAAGCTGCCGCGCCTTCTCCTCCATTGCGCGCAACGTGCTCGACAAAAGTTCCCACTGGTCGATCTCCGCCTGGTGCTTATCTCTGAGTTTGAGAAGAAACTTCCTCCTCCGCTCTCTCCGGAGTTTCTGGGGATCCTCCTGTAGATCCGCGGCGGACGAGGACGGTGGAGCCGGGACAGACTCGTCGGCATCTGGGTCGACCCTGCGCCGCTTCCTCCGCTTGAAGACGAAGCCGTCGTCGTTGCAGACCTCCCACTCTTGGGCGTCCACCCAAGCTGCTGCAGACTCCATTACCGCAGGAAGCCACGAGCGGGAAAAATGAAAATTTTGAGCGAAAATTCAAGTGAGAAATGACTTTTGCTAGGTCCGGATTCGTCACGGTGGACAGTCAGTGCCATATAAACCTAAAACGTTGTCGTTTTCGTTTTTCTGCAATTGGGGAAGTATTTTGAATTTGCCACCCCTTTTATCCATTTAGAATTTGCCACCTAATACGGATAAAAGTGAAGCGTGGCTGAGTGAGTCACTGAGTCATTGAATTAATAATTATTTTGCAATTTATAGCTGCTGTTTATTCAATTTAATGAGAACATAACGAGAGCAATCCATATAACGAGTTCACCATCATCGTAAAGCAACTTACCTTTTAAGAGAAAACAATGAATTACAATAGCGAAGGAGAAAACTTGCCTCATGTCATAAGTAATTATTCAAGATAGACCACACACCAAAATCAGAATTCTAATGCAACCTATCCACTATTTTAAATTCCTGTCTAGGTTCCACCGAGCACCTGATTAATCTCTAGACATTTAAAAATTAAGAAATGAAGCCTAAACTTGATTAGGCACCTGCCTAGATCGCTTAGATGCTTGCTTAGGTCGTCCAAACCCGCCTAGATCGTGACTTTTAGTTAAACAGAAAATAAATAATTTTTATTTTGCGTTCTAATAATTTATAATCTATATGTCATTCTAATAATTTATAAATGCTCTTAACTATTTGGGCTTCAAGTCCGTCGCATCTAATAATTTATGATCTATAGCAAAAAAAAGATGTAAACAAAAAAAAAAGCACTAGTATAGGCGTAGCAACAATACACAGCCAGACCGAATGCAACTTTGTGTTAAGTACAGTTGAGCTGTATTTGTACAAGTTCCTATCGCCATTATTTTCAACCCTCTAACGAGCTGTTGAATTTGGAGGATCAATTCCCATTTCCTCAAAGTATGCTTTCTCGGCGCCGGTCATTCGTGCTTGAAACATTGCCCATTCGCTATTACACCTCTCCCTTACCCCTTCCCATGGTGCTCTTCCACCCTCAGGTCGCCCCTGTCGGGAGAAAAAAATCGGTGACTACATTGTTCCAGATAAAATCGTTATATCAGCAGAGATTAGAAGCTTGAACTTACTTGGTTCCCGAGTGAAGGAACGCCTTGATGGACAATCCATTGCGCGTCCACGACTCCTATTTTCTTATGTGCAGGCTGTTCCCAAGCAAAGATAAAAGATGGAAGGCCCTAAATTACAAATTTACGATCACAAGCAGGAAGGAGTAATATTTAAGGCACAGAGAGAGAAGTTGTTTCGAACCTCAACGCAATTTCTAAGAGCAAAATCCAGACCCCAGCCATGGACCAGGTCATTCTGCAAAAGAAGGGAAAAGTTTATATAAGTAGCATTAGAGCAATCACTAAAGGCCTTGCAATGGATTGAGCTGAGAAAGACGATAATATATACCTGAATCATATGCCAGACACAACGCCATGCATCCCGAGAGAACACAGGTGCCATAATTTCAACAAACCTGCACATTTTGGTATTCATGGTAGAATGCATTAGAACACACTCCAAAAGCTTCCACAGTGGTGATGGATAAGATTATCTTTACATACGATGCACATGGTGGCAAATGCGGATCACTGCACCAACCAGGTCTCTCCTCTGTCTGCCTGTAGGAAGATGTTCGAGAAAACATAAGCCAAGCAACAATTTGAATCATTGGTTGAAGGATTATCAATGAGCGGAACTTAAAGACCGACTAGAAAATCTGCCAATCTTACATGTGAACTTCGCTGTTTTCTCTCCGCCTCGTCATCTGCCATGTTAGCCCACTCTTTGGATCTAAACCTGGCTGTGATATTTCCAAACCATGTTTCTTTACCAATTTTATGTATCTGGTACACAGAAGATTAAAGCCTTAATATTCAGTTTATCCTAGCATTAATTTTCAAAATTCAAATAAAACAGCACAATGAATTCTCAACGCTCACTTCTCTGCATCAAAGTGTTCCAGACCAAGATCCTCATCCCAAATAAATATGTATTCGTACGGTGCCACAATGTCAGGATGCAAAACCGCTTGGCGTACCACCTGGAAGCAATTTCCAGGACGCTTAGGTGAAAACGTAACTCTTGAGGGGTTTAACATATATCTTTTGCAGAACTATTAGGACAAACTTTAGATATTCAAAGCAGCTCATTTCTTTCTAACCATTTAGTTTGCTTCTGAATGCTCATGTGGATAGCTCGCTTCGACCATTCAAACTCATCCCATTCACTTGTCAAACCATCGTAGTGAAATAAAAGTATGGTGAAATTCTCTGAAAACTGTAAATTTACGTTTAGTAAGAGAAACAGAGATAAATAACTGTACAAATGAATTTGTTGAGAGAACAGACCTTTTTAACTGCTGCATCGACGTTTTTTTTCTGAGCACAACCTACGGTAAAGGTTACAAGATACTTTGGCTTGACAAGTAAGTCCTACAAGTTCCACCTCCAAGAGAAAAGGCTAAGATTAGAGAACAGGTCTGAAAAAATAATCCAATTCTCAATCAAAACAGGACATCTCATTCATACTAGACTTATAGTAGCAGATGCACACCTCACTAGGCAGACCCCATAGTCGGTGAAGATAGAAATCCGACTCAGATGCAATGATACCAGGCGCTAGGCTTTCAGCCCCTCGAGGATTAGTTGGAACCCAAATCTGCATTGTAGTCAAATGGATAGAAGTCAGTGCCATGACATAAACATCAGAACAATAGATCGCACCAAATTTCCTGGAACAATTACAACATCAAAACATCCCGAAGAAAAGTATAACCTTTCACCAAACCCTATAACTTCGCCTCTAGAACCACCATACGAGCGTGTGAATTCAGAGAAGTATCTTAATTTCCTTTACTAGCAAGCAAGCAATTTCTGCTCATTATTGTTATGATAATTACCCTAGGAGAAGGCATAAATCCTTTCGTGCTGCACACGTATAATTTAAACATACCTTTGTATCCTGAGATACATATTTTTCAGTGCGCTGCTCGTTTCCCTTCAAAGAAGACCAGGCACTCAACATTGCTTGGGTTGAAAACCCGGAGTACTTTTCCTCTATGCACGAAAGATCAATTGAAGGAAAAAGGGTGGACGGAAGATTCATCTACCATATTCAAACACAATAAAGAAGTCCATGTTACTCTTCATACAATCATATGATTCAGAACCAAATTCATCTGAAACACAACCATACAGAACAAAAAGATAAAATAATAATTCATGCACCTTAGTCAACGAAATTGTTGAAAACGATACTCCTAAAAAGAACCCGACTACAACTCCAACAAAGATTGTCACTGCAAGCCTCATTGTCTCATTGGGGTTTCTTAAATTTCCGCTGCATCTCAAAAGAAGTTCACATTGCACAAATGATGCAAACTCTGAGTTCCGTTGTAACATCAGCGAACGTAAAGATTACAGAACGAACAAAACAAAAACAAAAACAAAATTTATAAGATTCGTACATGCGTATCGGAGACCCCATATTGCTGAAGTTACTATGATCCCACAGTCACAAAGATACAGGTTGAATTCTAGCAAGCAGCGGGTGTTCCACAAGCACGAAAATCGGCAGATTCTACAGCATCATTAGTGAAGCAACCATCAAACAACCCTGCAAGGCTGCAAAGACAAATTAATTAACTTAAAACATGCTTTGTGAGTCAAATTAATTTCAGTTTTCACACAGTAGCTCACTGGCTTTGTTTGCACCACTCATCAGCTGAGCCAAATTCTAATTACAGCAAAATTCATAGCTAAGCAACTAGTACAACAACAGCAATAACGAAGCCTTATCCCCACTAAGCAGGATTGACTGTATGAATCCTAGAACGTCACTGTATTTGGTTTTGTATCAAGTCTTTCGTTAACTCCAAATAATCCATATTTTTTAATTCATGTTAAAAATGGCAGTAAAATTTACATGGAAATCGAAAATGCAACAAAAATGGTATTAAATTTAATTAATTTATTATCATGAAGTTAAACTCAGTTAAACGCATCAAATCCAAAATATTAACACGACGGAGATTAAGGAAAGTAATTAATAATTAACGAGAAAGTAAAAACGTACGCAGGTGATTTTGCCGTAAAAAAAAAAAAGTTCAACGCGGCGGAGCAAAACCGAACACGGCCCAGCTCCGTCTTCAGGCAGGGCCTTCCAGTTCCGTTTCCCCGATTCTCCAATTGGGTTTTTGAAAATGGCACCAACGAGGAACCGCTGAGATTTGAATTCCTCGAGGAATTTCCATTTCTGCGACGCCTTTTATTAACGCCTTCGTTCGTTCCGTTTGGACATTTTAATCACGTGCGTCGCCCGTGCTGGGAAGTTTTGAACCGAAGGATGCAGCCCCCAGCCGTTGGATGAAGGGCGTTTGTGGGACCCGCGTGTAGGGGGTGGAGATCTGGCCGTTGACTGGAAGCGAGGAAGTCTTGCGGGCGGGAGCTCAGAAGAAACAAAATATTTCCTTTTCGTGATTTACGAATGAAGAGGAAATGATGGGTGTGATTTGATTATTTTGATGAAATTTGAATTTTGGAGGGTAGTGTTTGACGGATTTGGTCCTCTTCTGAGCCCAAGGAGACGATCTCCTGATCAAGACATGTGGGTCGTTAAATTTTTATCCAACGGTTACAAACAAGGAATCTTTTTAAAGTTATAATAATTATAACCGTTGAATGAAAATCTACGGCGTGTCTTGGTCAGGAAGATTCTCTTTTTGGGCTTAGAAGAGGATCCAAATCCTTGTTTGACAATTTTGGGGCCGGCCATCTCCTTTTAAAATTAATTTCGGTGATGATTTTTAAGTTTTGTTTTATCCTACCTACTCTTCTTTATTTTTCACTTGAATAAATCATACAAAAATAATACTCAAAATTAAATAGGAATGCATTTTTTTTTCTGGACAGGGATCCTTGCCGGATCTCTTCCATCAAGTGCACCAAGATCACAAATTCGAGCATTTGAATTTTGATCAAACAACTACAGTTATTATAACTTTTAAAGTAGGCTCCTGCTTCTAGCCGTTGAATCAAATTTCAAAGGTCTGAATTTGTGGCCTTAGTGAACTTAGTGGAAGGGATCCGAAGAGGATCCCTGCCTTTTTTCTTGCTTTAAAAAGTAAACAACTGCCAACCACAATTATTTACCCTTTCAAGCCTATAAAAGAAGCTAATTGAGAATTACACCATACCCGTAGCTAGATCAAAAAGATTCACAATAGTTAGGATTAAGTAGGTATGTTTTCTTCTTCTTCTTTTAGGGTGACAAATTAGTAGTGAACCACAGTTATTCATCTCTTCTTAGCTGATTGGACCATACCCGTAATCATGATTCACAAGTTACAAAAATATCGAACCCAGGACTTCATATGTTTTTTTAGAGAGTTGATGCTCATATTTTTCATTGGGCCACTTGTCGTGGTTTAGTAATGTGTATTTATCTTTTCACTTTTGATTTGTTTGTGTTGGAAGCTTGAATATTTTGACTATTAGAGTGTAGCAGTGCCAAACGAGGAGGTCCATCCCAGCCTAACACATTTAAATCAACTTTTGTGATTTGAGCTGGCCCACTCAATGAACAGCGGAGCAGCGGACTTCGCCCGCTAATCTTTAATTATTTTAAAATATTAAAATAGTTTGTTTCAACATTTTTTTAAGTTAAGGATAAAAATACTTAGGGTTGGTTTGGTATTGGTGTACTTTGAAAAAAAACTACTGCTGTACTGTGAGAATAAGCGGTTGTGAAATAAAGTTGTAGAGTGTTTGGTAAATTTTTTGTAAAAATGCTTTTGAAAAAAAAAAAAAAACAGTACTATAGTGTTTGGTAAACTTTAATGTAAGTTGCATTTTGTGGGCAAGTTAAAAAGTTTTCATATGAATCAAAATTTATGAGAATCCAGACCAATAGTACTTATGGGATATATCAAGGATCAGCCAACATTATCAATGTTTAGCTTTAATTTTTATGCTCCATAAGATCCATTCATTAAATCATTGTATACATCAAATATTTAGTAAAGAAATTAATATTTACTAAATTATTATGCTTTAATTATATATTTTGTATTGACGAAGATGAATATAACCGTTAACCAATGAGAATCCGTTACCTGGTGGGAATGGTTATGGATAATACCCGATGATTAATTGGCGGTTATGGATATGGTTAATTTTTATGATTATGAGGATAGATATAACATATTCGTCCCCAAACCGAACCGTTGTCAACCCCACTAAAATCTAAAAGCCTCACAAAACCAGTGAGAAGGGTTCTCACTTCGGAGAGAAGAGCTCTCACTATGCAGAGAAAGAGATTTGCCTTATCTCAGTTCTACATTGTATTTAGGTATGAAATTTAGGTAAATTTTTATGAGGATGTTTTCTTTTACGTTGACCTAAGAAATAAACTGGTCCAATATGAAATAAGTCAAGTGCATACATAAATGGACTGAAATCAATTGATCGAACACTATCGGATTGGATTCAATCTGATAAGTGCCAATTTTTTTTGCACTTATTTTCCGGACAGCGCTGTAGGGGTATGGCTGCAATCACAAGCAAGTGATTGAATGGGTGGGAATAGGTCTGACAATTCCTGACACGACCCGATAACTCAACATAATACAACACAAAACGAAATTAACAGGTGTTTGGGTCGACACGATAACGAATCGGGTAACCCGATAAGCACCTGTTAAGATAACGGGTTGGTTTAGGTATACACGTGGGTAACACGATACACGATAAGCAAAATATTAATTTTATAATGTTATAACCCTAAAAAAATACTATAAGAATTATATATATTAATTTAACAATTTTATACCCCTAAAAACTATAATAATTATATATATATATATTAAATTAAATTTTAAAAATTGGTGACCATTGAATCGGCTTAAATATACATATCATTCAATTTCTTAAGTGTTATACGTACAAAATAAATAAATTTAAATCTACTTAATAAATATATATCATTGAACTTGATGGGATACGAATTCTACGAAACTAATTTCAACGATCCAACCGTCAAACTTGTTTGTATATGCTTTGAGATCGCATCAGCAAAAAATCGCAAAAAACAAACATTCAAATATCAAGTAACGGGACAAAAGTTTTCAATGGTTATAAAGCAAAAAATCACGATTTAACGACTATTTTAACTCTGATTTTGATTTTTTTTATAGCTACGCTCATTGAGCCTATATGAATACAATGAATGAATTCGATCTTCAATTTAAAATATTTACACTAGTGGATATCTTATGTTATACTTAATTAAAATATAAATAAACTCAAAGTGTTAGTGAATCTATCGTTTTGATGGGATATGCATCCTACGAAACTAATTTCAACAATCCAACCGTCAAACTTGTTTGTATATGCTTCGAGATTGCATATGCCAAAAATTGCAAAAAACAAACATTTAGAGATCAAGTAACGGGACTTTTCGACGGTTATAAACCAAAAATCACGATTTAACGGTTATTTTAACTCCGATTTTGATGATTTTTTTACAGCTACACTCCTTGAGCCTATATGAATACAATGAATGAATTTGATATTCAGTTTAAAATATTTACACTAGTAGATACCACAAAATTTTATGTTATACTTAATGAAAGTATAAATAAACTCTAAGTGTTAGTGAATCTATCGTTTTGATGAGATATGCATCATATGAAACTAATTTCAACGATCCAACCGTCAAACTTGTTTGTATATGCTTCGAGATCGCATACGCCAAAAATCGCAAAAAATAAACATTCAGAAATCAAGTAACGGGACAAAACTTTTCGACGGTTATAAACGAAAAATCACGATTTAACTGTTATTTTAACTCCGATTTTTATGATTTTTTTACAGCTATACTCCTTGAGCCTATATGAATACAATAAATGAATTCGATCTTCGATTTAAAATATTTACACTAGTGGATACTATAAAATCTTATGTTATACTTAATGAAAGTATAAATAAACTCTAAGTGTTAGTGAATCTATCGTTTTGATGGGATATGCATCCTACGAAACTAATTTCAACGATTCAACCGTCAAACTTGTTTGTATATGCTTCGAGATCGCATAAACCAAAAATTGCAAAAAATAAACATTCAGAGATCAGGTAACAGGGCAAAACTTTTCGACGGTTATAAATGAAAAATCACAATTTAACAAGTATTGTAACTCTGATTTTGATGTTTTTTACAGCTACACTCCTTGACCCTATATTAATACAATGAATGAATTCGATCTTCAATTTAAAATATTTACACTAGTGGATACTATAAAATCTTATGTTATACTTAATGAAAGTATAAATAAACTCTAAGGCATCGTTTGGCAGCTCAGACTGTACTGACTATTTCTGTCGGATAGGATAAATAGCCATCGGATAGTACTGACTAACTTCGTCAAGCGTTTGGTGCAGTATTGGACTAATGACCATATTATTTATACTGTGTTTGGTTTTATACCGGATTGAAGGAATCAAACTTAAAATTAAATTAAACTTAAAAAAAAAAAATGAAACCGTCACTTCTTTTTCCCCCGTTTTCTCCGCCGCACCCCTCAAACGCCCTTCCTCTCTCTCCCTTCTTCTTCCCCGACTGCAGAAGAATCCCAAATAATTGTTCCCCAGATCTCTCTGTCGCACCCCCCAAACTCCCTCCCTCTCTTTCCTTTCTTTTTCTTCCCCGACTACAGAAGAATCCCAAATTGAAATCATCTCTCCGCGTCTTTCCCTACTAAATACATACTTTTTCTCGATATGTGCATGCATGCACATCTGGTAAGCAACCATGAGTCATCGGATCCACATCAACCCAAATCAAGATGCAACAAACGAAACAAACTAACGATTTGTTGACAAGGTTACCTCCTGCACTGCAGCATCGTAAGTGGAATGGACTGGTGGCGGTTTGACAGAGAGAATGAGAGTAGTTTGTTGGCGTTTTAAGAAGAGAGGTTTCCCAGACACCATGCTGGCCAAGAGAGTGCATGCTTCTTTGCAAGACCCAGTTGCAGGGGAGGACGACGATGGCGATGGGGAAGACGACAATGGTGAGAGAAGGTGATGGAGAGGATGGCGATGGTGAGAGAAGGTGACGGGGGGAGGGGGAGGACGACGATGCCTAGAGAGAGAGAGAGGGGGGGCTGAGAGAAGGCGAGAGAGAGAGGGCCGACTAATAATCTCGGCCTTTTGGTTGGTTTTATTAGTCCGGCGTATACCGTGCTAAATAAGCATACCGGTTAATTTAATCCGGCGCTTATTTAGTACGAGTGAACGCCAAACACTCGCGTCCGTATAACTAGTCCTATCTGATCCTTTATCCGATCTGCCAAACAGCGTTTTGATGGGACATGCATCCTACGAAACTAATTTCAACGATCTAACTGTCAAACTTGTTTGTATATGCTTTGAGATCGCATAAGTCAAAAATCACAAAAAACAAACATTCAGAGATCAAGTAACAGGGCAAAACTTTTCGATGGTTATAAACGAAAAATCACGATTTAACAAGTATATTAACTTCGATTTTGATGATTTTTTATAGTTACACTCCTTGACCCTATATGAATACAATGAATGAATTCGATCTTCAATTTAAAATATTTACACTAGTGGATACTACAAAATCTTATGTTATACTTAATGAAAGTATAAATTAACTCAAAGTGTTAGTGAATCTATCATTTTTAAAAGCTAGTGCAGTTTATAAAAACCACCTCATCATCTTTCTCCACACATGTTTTTCTCTTGTTAAAAACAATTTGATCTTAACTGCCACATGATGGCTAGTGGTAGGGGAATTCCTCTTATGGCCGCATTCCATACATTACGTTATGTGTTCAATTTATAACGTTAGTGAATAAAATGATGGTAATAAAAAAAAAAACTAAAATACTTTTGTAAATTTTTCTGGCTTTTAAAAAAATGGACTGCCACTAATTAGTCATCTCTTAAAAAAAGAAAAAGAAAAAGCAATTTGTTCTATTTTTTTGTTGGATTTCCATTTTCCAACCAAAAAAAGAAAGTAGTTTTAACAAACAAAACAAAAAACGAAAAACAAAACTAATGGAAGGATAAAACCAGCGTCAAAACAAAAAAAATCAAAAAATTACCAAAAACTTCAACCCCATTTCAAAACTTAAAAAAAAAATCTAACTGCAAAATCCATCCTCATAAATAACCCCATTTCTCTCCATCCTCATCATCTTTCTCTTTCCCCATTAATGGCCTTCAAGTCCAGTTTACTAATTTCCACCTTTTTCCTCCTCTTCTTCTTCTCCATCACCACCACCACCGTCCGACTATGCTCCGCCCAAATCCCCGGAAACAATCTCGACCGTCCTCAATCCAACTCCGACTGCACCGGCCGTTGGATCCATATCCGACGGCTCCCCCCGTCCTTCAACCTGGATCTCCTCTCCGATTGTTCTGGTTACCCTCTGTTCGACGACTTCTACCCTTACTTAGCCAACAATGGCCTCGGCCAGAAAACCCATAATCTTTCTCACAGCTGGTATCGAACCGACCCATTAATGATGGAGCTTATTTTCCACCGTCGGATGCTTGAATACCCATGTCTCGCCTCAAATCCCCAATCTGCCGACGCTGTCTACCTCCCCTACTACGCTAGCATCGATGCCCTCCGTTATCTCTACGGCCCCGATTACAATTCCAGCTCCGAGCAGGGCCTTAATTTGTTAGATTTTTTGACCCGGGACGACCCGGATTCCTGGTATAGACATATGGGTCAAGACCATTTCTTTGTTTTGGCCCGACCCGCTATGGATTTCTCCCAGCCGTTGGGGAACGATCCGCCGTTGTGGGGGACTTCGCTGCTCGAATTACCGCAGTTTTTTAATGTCACTGCTCTGACGGTGGAGGCGCGTGCCTGGCCATGGCAGGAGCACGCTGTGCCTTATCCGACGTCGTTTCATCCGCCTAATTTGTCCTTATTGGAGATGTGGTTGCAGCGGGCGAGGCGATCTCGCCGCACCACGCTTATGATGTTCGCCGGCGGTGGCGGTGTCGGAAATAATCCGAACATTAGGAGGAGTATCAGGAACGAGTGCGAAAACAACACCAAAGCAAATAATGCGACGTCAAACAACAATTTGGGGAGGTTTGGAAGTGGAGGTGTCGGGTACACAAAGCTGTGTGACATTGTGGATTGCTCCCATGGGATATGTGAGCATGACCCAATTAGGTTCATGAGGCCAATGTTGCAGGCTAGTTTCTGCCTGCAACCTCCGGGTGACACCCCAACGAGGCGGTCCACATTTGATAGTATTATGGCCGGCTGCATCCCCGTATTCTTTGAGGACTCGTCCGCCAAAGCACAGTACGGGTGGCACTTGCCGGAGGATCAATATGGGGAGTTCTCGGTGTTTATACCGAAGGAGGACGTGGTGTTCAAGGAAACTAGGGTTTTGGATGTGCTTAGGAGCATTCCCAGGGCTAGAGTGAGGAGGATGAGGGAGAAGGTGTTGGAGATGATACCAAGAGTTATGTATAGAAGGCATGGGAGCTCAATGGGATTGAGAGCTAAGAAGGATGCTTTTGATCTTGCAATTGATGGTGTGAACAAGATTAAATCTAAGGTTCCAGTTCAACGTAGGGTTTTCCCTCAGTGACCCACTTGAATTTTACTTTTTTTTTTTTTTTCCTTTCTTGGCATTGAAGTCATTGTAAGTATTGATTATGTTGTACATATATTTAGTTATTTATGCAAGTGTAGTGCCACTTGATTAAAGTTAAAACACTACATTTGGTTGAAGGAAATAAATTTAGAATTTTGACAAAAGTCAGGATTTATAAATTGACATGTATCAATTCCTTTATTTGAATTCATAAACATATAAATTTTGAATTTAAAAAAAAAATCAGATTTTGGGACCTCAAATTCCTAAGTTTAAATTCCATATAAATAGATGTCATTTTTAAATTTCGATAAGTGAGAGTTTAAAAATAAAAGATTCCATATTCAAATTCCATTATTTTTTTAAGTTAACCAAACAAGAAAATTCACAAATTCTAAAAAATAGAATTTTGTCATTTCAAACTTTCTTAATAATCTTAAATTTCTTCATCCAAACAAAATCTTAAAAAAAATGTTCGTAGATTTGGATTTGGCCAAATCAACTAGAGCAGTGTGCTCTGCCGTCTGCGCCAAGTTCAAATCCCGACCCTTGGATGATTAAACTTCAAATTACGCTACTATCATATTGTTTGTCAAAAACAAAAGTTTTGTAAAATGCTCAATTCAAACATGAGATATAGAGTAGCTGTCTTCGTTGCAGCATTAGAATTGTTATTTTAGCCTTGGCTTGTGACTCAAGAGACAGAAAACAAATAAATTATTGGACCGACGAAAAACAATACAATCTTATTGAGGGTGCCAAAAACTAAAGAAAAACAAATGAAGGGGCGCTGATGGAGATTTGATGCAACAATACCTAACACATTTGGAACGTGATGCAAGAATTGCAAAACCGCGCTTCATACGGCTAGGACGACGTTCTTGTTCTGTATTGGCAGGAGGCAAGGTTTCGAGTTTCAACCCCATCTGAAAATGGTAGAAGCCCAAGTCAGACCTGCTCCAAAACCGGCAGCTGCAATAGTATGGCCTAGTTTCACCTTCCCGCTTCTCACAGCTTCGTCCAATGCCAACGGTATGGAACCAGCGCTCGTGTTGCCATAGTTTGCCAAGTTTGAAATCACCTGTTCTGATGGGATTTGCATGCGAGTAGAAACCGCATCAAGGATCCTCTGGTTTGCCTGCATTATTGATTTGTCGTATCAGAACAAAATGTACTACGTCGCTTGTTTGCTAGGAAAACCTTAGGTCATTAAGAAGCTCCCTTGAAGTGCTATATTCGTTCAAACTTCCCATTACGAAGAAGATGAAAATGTAAGCACTATTTCTCAATAGTGTACCAGTTTAGTTCACTGGACATATATGACAGGCTGGTATAGTTTTGGAAATAAGAAATTATTAGGCTGAAGTTACTTGCCGTATATGTCTATTTTCCACGCCTAAATATTTTCTGAAATTAAAGTAATGTGGGAAAGAAATTGTAGTTAAATGATAATCGGTAGCCATAACTGACGGTAGAGCAGAGAAATCGTTTAATCAGTAAAACCTGGGGTAAACTTTCCCAAATATATCATTCGTCATACCTGATGGAGCAGTAACCAATCAATGCTAGACGCAGGGAGACCAGCCTTTGCAAGGGAATACTCAATTGACTGCGGCACAACACGCACAGCAAAGCGAAAGACCTCTTTACCATTCATTTGAAGGCACGAATATGAAGCTCGTCTTGGAGGGAAGCCTAGGACTGAACCATTAGAACCCAACACATCGTCTGTTTCATTTTCTTTCAAGGCGGCATTTAGATGTCTGCAAAGAGAGTGATCGGTCAGTATCAGAAAAATACTGTACTTGCTGAAAAGGTGCATAAAACAAACATAGAAATCGAGAAAACGCAAACCTGTATCCTTCACCATCACTATGCACATCAAAAGAAAGCAAACCATCATCCTCACCATCGCAGGCCTACACAAATATGAAATTTCTGCTAAGTGCAATGAAATTTGTGGAATGAAATCTTTGCTAATAATTTATTCGATCCATTCTGGAAACGACAATATTAAGATAGTATGGTATGAGTTTCTGAAAAATGGAAACAAAATTAACTGCCAAATAAAGCAAAGTCCAAAGCTAGAAGCTGAGAGGGACTTCAATGCCCTTATATAGAAAACCAGTGCTTAGATATATGCCAAAAATTCATTACGCAACGTAAACACACCTGTATCAATACAGCCCCAGCAGCATCCCCGAAGAGTATACACGTTCCTCTATCGGTCCAGTCAACAATCCGAGAAAGAGCATCAGCCCCAATAACAAGAACATTTTTAAATCCACCAGCTGCAGTTTGCACAATATAGTTTAATCAATTAAACATGGGAAATAACAGTGGGCATCCTTAAGTAAACAAAGTCGTTACCCTTAATGTGACAATGCGCTGATACCAGACCCAAAATAAATCCACTACAAGCAGCTGTAATATCATACGCTAAAGGATTCCTTGTGCAGCCGAGTGCTTTCTGAACCTGAAATTACAATATAATACAAATTGAACAAATGTAAGCATTTACTGTATTAATTAAACAACATAAGCACTAAGAGTTTGAATTTTTGCTCGAGCATTCATTAAAATGCGAAGCTCAACAACATCAATATTTAGCTCCACTTGCACTACACAGGGGTTTCTAACATGCAAAATAGAGTAACACTCAGTTGTTCGTTCTATATCACGTCTGAATCGTGATCAATATAGTCCAGTACAGTTCACGTAGTTGGTCAAAGTTCAAGCCATGGAAAAAGCATAAAACTATACAAGCACAACAAACTTAATCAATAAAATAACCTACTAGGAATATAAAGAAGAGACCTTAAAAAGCTACAGTTTTTAAAAGTCAGCCAGCGGTAGTTCGACCAAATATTAAACAAACCAAAAAAAAGCATGTCACATCTATTACAAAACTCCAGTCCAGTCAAGATGAATCGCGCTAATGGGAACTCTTCTAAAGTTCTTAGACATAGATGCCCACAAGGATACAAGAATCTACTTCTGTCTGAAATAGAACCCCCTTATAAATTAATGAAACTTGCAATGATCTGTTACTTTTTATTTTTCTTCTACATAACAAATAAATACACACCTAGATAGATGAAATTTTGTTCATCACCTAAAGATTTATAAGCCCCTAAAAACATGGAGATTAAAATATAATAGGAATCAATATTGGCAAAACAATCATATTATGCACACCACTGTGAAGCTCAATCCCTTTTTTTTTTTTTTTTTTTTTTAAATCCTGACGACTTAATCCAGATACCACGTAGTGATCTACATACCTTAGGGGCACAGCCAAAGATATCATCAGGCGTAGATGTGCACACCAAGATTAGGTCCACATCATCAACATCAACCTGTGCCATCTCAAGAGCTTTATGAGCTGCCTCGACCGCTAACGTTGTCAGGCTCTCTTTGCCTGTAATTTTACAAGAAGAATGTCATTATATAGAATGGGTAACATAAAATATCCACTAGACCTAAAAACGAGGACGAGAAAAGAGACACATATTTGACTAAAATAATTGTTCAGATAAAAGGTAAAAGCATTCAAATATCCAGTAACATAGGAAAGTCCCTCCTTAGGCTCTTACACTACCAGCATTAATCAGGTCAAACCTCACCATATGCTTATAGTTTCAGTTGTCCGAATAGAATGGTGAAGCCATAGTACTATATATGTAACAGATTTTGTTCAATAGCGACAGAAAGAAGGTTTTACAAGCCGCTATCTGACGAACCTCATCCTAGGCAAGATTCAAATCGTCAACCTGAGAGGTCCAACAGCTTGTAATGCACTGCATATGCACCGCAAGTATGAGACTATGAAGCTGAATTTCCTAAGTTAAACTCATAGCATGCGATTTAAAAAAAGAGGCTCGACACAGGCTAAGCTACCTCAAACTGTTTACCAAATATATGACATTATCATGCACAGAAAAGTATGACCTGACCTGAAATAACTCGTCGATTACGAATCCCAGTGCGAACAGATATCCATTCATCGTTAGTATCTACTACTTTCGCAAGATCGTCATTTGAAATCTTAAGACTGGGTACTGCTGAGCCGCATCCAATTAACTTGCAGCCTTTACTGACAAGCCTGAAATAAAATAGAGATTATTTAAGATCAGACAGATTATCATTTACCAGCTTGTATTCATACCCCCCATTTAACCAAAATGCAATCCCAGTACGGACAGTGGCTCTGGGCAAAGGCACTCTGTTTATTACATAAAACACATAGCAGTGGCCATGGTCCAACCTGGGATAGCTTTAACCAAGAACAATTATAATTAGATGCAGGAGACAATTTTAAAAGATCCGTCCAAAGCCATGGGCCACTGGTAGGAATTAAATTTTAGATTTTACAGAAACAGAATAAACAACCAATTCATTTGGGACAAAGTTCAATAACACACTAGGCATTCAATAAAGGAATTTGGTAATTTGGTCATGTTCTACATTTAGCACCCTTTACCAAGCCATTAAAGAAGATAGCTACAGAGTGCAAAGACAATCCAAATGCAAGAAAAGGAAAGAAAAAAAAACCTTAATTTGATAAACAAAATTTTTCTCTGGGGTTCATAAGATAACCCGACGACAATAGGCAAGAAAAAGTCATTTAAGTGGGTCTACAAAAGTGGTAAACTGATAAGATAAACTTTTAGTTTTGTTCATGATTATTGCCTTTATTTCCCTTCCATCATCCAAAACATTCTCTTATTTTAAGTGGGAGAGAGAGCAAACAGAAGGCGAAGCCATCGGAAGAACAGTGATACAAGCAACCTTTAAAAACCAATACAAAACCTCATCTAGAAGTATCATCAAAAGGAAATCTAATATTTTTGCCAAATACTGATTTACCTAAGCTCATGCCTGTAATCCGACTTACATCAATGAAAACGCTTCTAACTTAGTTGCATCCCGTAGTTAGTCCTACAATTGATTTGTTAGACAGTTACTTTACTGTGCCTTAATCATCTATGTATATGTATACCTCCCCAAATTTTTGCCTTAAATTGATTGTAGGTACTAAAAAGTCGGCTTGATTTTGGATCGGTTGTAGCTGGCTTCGTCGCTTAAACCTTGTAAATTTAAAAACTTTGTGCAGCACAAGTTTACACATGGGAATTTATTCCCCATCCCTTTCATACAGAAAATGGCTATGCACTGGCATGCTATTGCCAACCATAACTCGAATCCTACTTATCGAAACAAATCTAGCATATACAAGAAAAACCAGAAAAGCTAAAGAACTTTATGACTAAATGCAAATCATGAAGCTTTCCAACAAAGATAATAAATCAAATGCAAAATCCAACATGCAAAACAATAAGGGGCAATATCACCAAAAAGAATGAAAGAATGGAGATTGAACTCACTTGGGTGATCGAGATTCAGAAGCGGAAGCTCCAACATGCTTCTCTGCGCCTTCAAAAGTGCTGGAGCAGAATACCCTCTTGGAGATTCCCTCAGGGGAAGGAAACCCAGATCCAAAAATGCGTATTGAAGGCTGAATCTTCCTCCTCTGGCTCGGAACTGTCGGAGCAGTGAAGAACCCAGATGCATTGGTGGCCATTTATTTAAACCCACAAAGCAAAATTTCAGACCCACAAAAAAAATATGCAGAGCCGGAGAGAGATTGGATTCAGCCAATATATGAGAACCAGAAGCATGCGATGAATGGAGAAAACAAAACCCATGAAAGGAAAAGATCAACAGCTATGGCGGAGAGACAGAGAGACAGAGTGGTATCAGAAGACTGGCCCTTCTTTCTTCGGAGGGTCCAAAGGCTCCGAAAGCACATACTCGATAAACAGGTGTTTCAGAAGAGCCGGTCTGGGAAGTTTTGAACCGAAGGATGCAGCCCCCAGCCGTCGGATGAAGGGCGTTTGTGGGACCCGCGTGAAGAAGACAAAACATTCCCTTTTCGTGATTTACGAATGAAGAGGAAATGATGGGTGTGATTTGATTATTTTGATGAAATTGGAATTTTGGAGGGTAGTGTTTGACAATTTTGGGGCCGGCCATTTCCTTTTAAAATTAATTTGGGTGATGATTTTATGTTTTGTTTTAACCAATACGTACTCTTTTTATTTTCTATTTGAATAAATCATACGAGTTCAGAATTAAATAAGAACGCATTTTTTTTTCTTGTTTTAAAAAAGGGATAATGGGTAACCATAATTATCTACCCTTTCAAGCCCATAAAAGAGGTTAATTGAAAATTATACCTTATTCATGATTAGATCAAAAAGATTCACAATAGTCATGATCAAGGAAGAAAATATCGGTAGTCCGAAAACACGGAAATATCGATGGAAATATCGGGATAATATCGATATCGATAAAAATTACATGGAAACCACGGAAATTGTAAGAAAAACTTGGAAATTTTTATTGAAACTTTGCAGGATGTTTATTTAGTCAATTATCTATTAGTTTATCACAAAAAATTGGAAGGAAATGCATTGCATGATAGATTTAACTGATTTAAGTTGATTATATAGCGAGCTGGCAAACATTGTGAATGTAGAAAATATGTAGTAATTAATGAAAGAAGTTTAAACACACCATAATCATTTATATATAATGAATTAGTACAATATTTTACACTTTATACATTGCATAGTAAGATACATGAGTGACTTAGTACCACATAGAGTTCCTATGAGGTTCAAAATTTTCACTATCTTCATCATCTCTATTTGTAGAGTAAGTGTATTGTGAAGAGTAGTCAGCAACCATGACAATGGTTTTCAAGAACCAAAACCCAAAAGTCAATAGGAAACCGAATACTTCGGTATTTTTCAGGATTACCAAACAAATGGGATTTGGAAACCAATCCCATATCGAAAATTTTGGGATGGGATTCCCGAACTTCAGGATGGTTTTGGTTTGGGATTTTTCGGTTTGGGTTTGGGACTTTTTCGGTTTGGTTTGGGATTTTCGGGAATTTTTTCCAGCCCTACCATGTAAGTGACCAAATAAAAAATAGAAAAATTAAAAACCACATGCCATTGACTAAGTAATTAATTGACACAATTTAAAATATAATACCACAAAAAATTTGGAATATGTGCAAATTTGTTTCTTGTAAAAAGAATTCAAAACAAAACCATATATATAAATATAGTAGCATATTATCACAACAACATAAGTGATATGGTGGTTAAGGCGTTAAGGAGTCAAATGGGAGGGGTTTCGAATCCCTTTAGTCTCAAATTGAGACTTTTCAGAAATTTTTAAGAATTTTTTGTTGTCATATCGCGATATTATTGATAATATTGCGATATTTTGACGAAAACTCATTGAATACTCATTAAAATATCGGTAACTCAAAAAAACGAAAATATCGGCGATATTTCGCCGATATTTTCGATATTTAAATCCATGGTCATGATTAAGTAGGGATGTTTTTTTTTTCTTTTCTTTTAGGGGGACGAATTGGTGGTGAACCACAATTATCCATCCATTCTCAGCTCATAAGAGACTAGTTGAGAATTAGACCGTACCTGTAATCACGATTCACAAGTTACAAAAGTATCGAATGTTACATCCCGGGCTGGGCCTTCATCACATCCCGGGCTCGACTCCACCGTAGCACGATATTGTCTGCTTTGAGCCCCGACCACGGCCTCACGGTTTTGTTTATGGGAACTCACACGAGAACTTCCTAGTGGATCACCCATCATGGAATTGCTTTCGCGTGAACTCGCTTAACTTCGGAGTTCTGATGGAACCCGAAACCAGTGAGCTCCTAAAAGACATCGTGCTACGTAAGGATGAAAATATACATATAAGAATCACTCCCCTGGACGATGTGGGATCTTACATCGAACCTAGGACTTCATATTTTTTTCTTATGGAGTTGATGCTCATATTTTTCATTGTGCCACTTATCCTGGTTTTATAATGTGCATTTATCTTTTCACTTTTGGTTTGTTTGTGTTGGAAACATTAATATTTTGGCTATTAGAGTGTAGCAGTGCCAAACGAGGAGGTCCATCCCAGCATAACTCATTTAAGCTCTGATTTAGTACTGTGGTGATTCTAAAAAAAATAGTTATAAAAAAGCTGGGAGCTTTTTTATGTTTGGTAAACATTCAGCTTCAGTTTTTTTTCATAGTTTTGGGTGACAAAAAAGCCAAAAACACAAAGCTGCAAAACCCAACTTTGAAAAACCAGTTTTTTTTTTACATCTGTTTTACATAAAAGTTTATCAAACAATATAATACTGTTTTTTTTCAAAAGCACTTTTACAAAAAAATTTACCAAACACTCTGCTGCTTTATTTCACAGCTGCTTATTCTCACAGCATAGCAAAAACAGTTTTTTTTTTCAAAGCACATCAATGCCAAACCAGCCATAAATCAACTTTTGTGATTTGAGCTGGCCTACTCAATGAATAGCAGAGCAGCGGACTTCGCCCACTAATCTTTAATTATTTTAAAATATTAAAATAGTTTGTTTCAACATTTTTTTAAGTTGGAAAAGGATTATCGTCAGATCATTTTTTCAGGGATTTTGTGATCGTAATCGTTCATTGTATATCGTACGGTTAGAAATCATTTCAAAATTTAAAATTAAATATAAATAGTACCTAACGAAAACTGACCTCACGATATATGATGAATGATCACGATCGCAGGATCCCTGCAATTCATAGGAAAAGGATCCCTTTTGAGTTAAGGATAAAAATACTTAGCCAGTTAATCATTATTAGTCCAAGAGAAATGTTAAGGCAACTATCTCGAAGTGAGATTTTTTTTTTACTTTATGTCATCTCACAGTTTAAAATTGATTGTTATGCTAACATTGTAAACCAGTGTGTCAAAAACATAAGACGATAAAGAATCCAACTTTTAATAGAGTCCCCTTAGCATTTCCCAGATATGTTTGTACTTGAAAAATAATGAATATATATTAATAATGTATTTAGGTATGAGATTTAGGTGAATTTGTATGAGGATGGCTTTTTTTTGTTGACCTAAATCAATTGATTGAACGCCTATCGGATTGGGTTCAATTTGATAAGCGGCAATTTTTTGGCACTTATTTTCGGGACATCGCTGTCGGGGAATGGCTACGATCACAAGTAAGCGATTAAATGGATGGGGGGGCTCCGAAAGCACGTGCAAGATAAGCAGGTGTTTTAGGAGACGGTTTTTAAGTGAAAGATTTTAGATTTAGTTTTATAAGTTTCAATAAACATATCGTGTATCAAAACAATACAGTAATCTAAAATTCTAACTTATGTATATCTAAATTCAAATTAGAGAGTAGGGGCGAATATTCTAGTCAACTAAACACCTTCATTTTCATAATTTTCAGTTTGAACTCACGAAGCCAACAAGATTCCGATCTATTATGTATTTTTAGTAAACGACAAACTCTAATCTCAAGATTGTCGAACTCGCATATGTTTTGAATCTTTATGAAACCAAAAGCTTTAACCTTACAAAAATACCCAATTAACCTTTGTTTAAACACTTATAGATCGTATCGATGATATTAAGGAGAAAGCCAGAAGCAAATAACGTGTCAATAACATGTCAACAACACACATCCTAGGGTAATTAAGAGGAGGGTAATTAGGTCTTTTAACTATAAAAAGAATTTTTTTTTTTAAGAAGAAGAATTTGAAAATGTTATTGGTGTCATTTTGGGTCATTTCATTTCTCTTCCCTAAATTATGAAAACAAAGAATCTACGAAGAAATCTCGGAATTTCCATTCAAACCCTCCGCGGTGCGCCCACGGAAGAACAACTTCGGCGCTCTAGTCTCACCCGCCGGTGATTCTCTCGCTCCTCACCCGCATTCTTACTCACAGGTGCTCCTCCTGCTCTGATTAAGCTTTTAGGGCTTCCAATTCTCAGTCGCATATCGAATTTTAATTTGGAGAATATCCATTATCCATTGTCTGTTTTATCTCGGAATTCGGAATATCTGATTTAATTGGAATTTCTGGAGGTTAATTTTGCTTTAATTACTTCCTGTGATTGCTTTTTTGTAATATATGTAATCATGGATCAGTGAATGTTTCTGCAAATAGGAGGAATGAGTTTCATGTTGACTTAAATATTTCCAGTTATCTTAGCATTTAAACGCAGTGACGTTGTAGGATTCATATAGCTGACCCCACTTAGCGGGTTTGGGCTTGGTGCCACCTAGCTTGGTGGTTGTTTTTTCACTAAATTACTAAAATTATGTTTTTTCTACCCATTGAAGAAATGTTTAATCCAGAATTTTAACTTGATTAGTTCTCGAATTTTAGAATTAGGTATGTATATCTATGCAAGTGAAAAGGAACTCTGTTTTAGATTTCGTATGCTTGTGCATTGCTGATGATTGAGCTGTAATTTTAGGGGGAAAGGGTTGAGCTCTCAGAATTTGGTGGGAGTAAAATTTAGAGACGGAACAATGTCTGCGCCGGACATTGCAGGTATACTGGAAAAGTCGAAGGAGCTCGATCAATTAAGGAAAGAGCAAGAAGATGTGCTCATTGAGATAAACAAGATGCATAAGAAGCTCCAAGCTAGTAAGTCCCTTTGTTTGTTAGTCCTTGGAAATATTCTCTGAATCTTTTGTAATTGGATATTTTGATGTTTTTCGATAGATTAGTTAGTTGACATTCAGCTTAGAAGTGAGGAATGACCAATGCGTTTAATAATGTTAGTTTCTTTTTTAATCTATCTTGCATGTTAATACAGCTCCTGAAGTGGTAGAGAAGCCTGGGGATAATTCATTGTTGAAGCTGAAGAATTTATATGTGCATGCCAAAGATCTTTCTGAAAGTGAAGTAAGGTATGTTTCTTTTTATCTTTCATCGAGTTAAACACTTCCTTGGAACTGTATAAAAAAGGGTTAAAAACTTCCTCGGAAGCTTATATA